TAAATAGTGCTCCTATTTCGCAATAAGAACGAATTATTTATCAAAAAGTAATCAAGAACTATCACCTAGAGGGTATCCTGCGACACACTTAAGCTAAATCTGTAAGAGAAAATTCCAATTAGTAAAGAAATTAATTTGAAAAATTACCTTAATACATAGTTATTTTATTTCGATGCCCTTTTCCCTATTAATAATCTAATAAAGAGCGTCTCGGAAAATGCAATTATCCAAAGGCCTCGAAATTTTCCAATAGACGTCTACCGTGAGACACCCTGTATATTGTCTGTCGTCTGTATTGATGATGCTGGAATAAAATAAGTATGTACCTATGTACGTACTGTATACTCCGTGATATTTCTGACATATCTATTAATACATAAATCATCTATAATTTTTCTCGACAAGTTGATACCCGGATATCTTACCAAGTATTGACAAGTACTTATCTACTTTTTTATAGTCTAGCGACAGATAATTTGATAAACATCTTCGGTCTACATATTAAATAATTTTGATTAATTTGGATGGATTTTACTACTAGGCAATTTAAATTATTTGATGAACACATGAGAACTCAATTATTACATACGAACACGAATTAACCAATACGCAAGTCATCGAGATATGTATTCCAAATAAAGGACCAAAAACATTTATCAAATTACCCATAACTTGATACGGGCAGAGTAATCGAGTTACTCTGTCTGATAGCGCTCTACTTTTAGATAAATTATTGAAATTTATCGGTAGTCTCGAATTGTCAGTCGCTGCAAAGAAATACAATATGAACTTGAAAAATTTTGTGTGTTTGCTGTTAGTGTTAGATTTGACAGTAAATAAAATTGTTTGTTATAATATTCTAGTTGTATTTGGGCATCCAGGCAAAAGTCATTACGATGTTTTCGAAGACATGTTTCGAGCTCTGGCAGAAAGAGGCCATAAATTGACAATTTTAAGCCATGTAAATAGTCCGCATCATGAAAACATTCGGGTAAATTTCTCAGTTATAGCATATAAAATTTGAAGCAGGTTCAAGCAATTCATGTTTTGCTTCAAAGTTGAAACTAATTTTCGTAAATAATGTACCTAGGATAGAATAGTATAATATTCCTCTATTATTATAGCTCTTTAGTGCGGCGTACAGTGAAAATATGTGGTGGTAGTAGACATCAAATTAATTTGCTTTTAAATTTTGTAACTTTTAGCATATACTGTTTCGAGATTCAGAACCACTGTTACATGATGTAAGTATTACTGAATCCCGAGGAAAAGGATTCACGTACATGGTCGACCAGCTTAATATGCTTTCAAGATTTGGTAGCCGGAATTGTAAGCGTGATTTGCAAAGTCCTCAATTTCAATCATTTTTGAAGGAAGAACATGAATATGATTTGATCATTGGAGAAATGTTTAATACTGTTTGCTACGACGGACTTGCGACTAAATACAATGTGCCGTTTATAGGTAAGAGATTTTAAAATTTATTTTATCATGACTAATTTGTTAGATTTTTATACAAAAATGACAATTTTTAATGGAAAACTTGCAGCATTGACGCAATTCTTTTCTAATAAGCGACGAAAACTATGGCCTGCTAAAAAAGGATAAAGTCGTCGTAGAAATATTTTAGGCTTCGACGAGTAATTAAATTTTTATTAAACATTAGAATCAATTTGAATTTATACAGGGTGTCCCGTAATTAGGTGGCCAAACTGAAACAGTGAAATCAGCAGAATTGGAGATTTCAGTAATATTTGGTCCACTTTTCCATAACACCGTTTGCTTCATGATGCGAAAAGTTCAATTTGTTGATTCAACAACGATCAAAAGTTTCAAATTTTTGTTTAACTCCACTTTAACTTGGATGGTTTTTTAAATTTATCGTCAAGTTTAAAAATCTGGGAAAAATCATTAGAAGTTGGGATTTAAATAACATTTAGTCTACTTTTCGCTAAAACCCTTTTATTTATCGTGCGAAAATTTCAGTCGGTTGATGAAAGTGGTTTGGGAGACACGAATTTTTTATTAACTGCATTTCAAGTTGTACAGGTTTCTTTTTATTTGTCGACGAGTTTAAAAAGTTCTGGAAAACCAGCAGAAGTGTTGATTTTAGTGAAATTTGCACGGCGTTTCGATAAAACCTTTTCCTTTGTGGTGTGAAATTTTCAGTTTGTTGATGTGTTGTTGTTGAAGTGTTTTGGGAGTTACAAATTTTTGCTTAAGTGCACTTCAAGTTGTTTTTTTTATTTCTAGTCGAGTTTAAAAATTTTTGAAAAATCAGCGGACGTGGGGATTTTAGTGAAATTTGCGCTGCGTTTTGATAAAAGCTATTTTTTTATTGTGCGAAATTTTAATTTGTTGATATAAGTGGGTTGGGAGTTACAAATTTTTGTTCAACTGCACTTCAAGTTGTACAGTTTTTTTTTAAATTTATCTTCTTCTAGAATTTTGCGTACAGTTGTACCTGTATCAAGGGTATTATCTCAAATTAAACTAGACTTTATTATCTACAACTTTTATAATCAATGTTTTTTCTTAAATTTCAAATTAGATTTGATAAGTATATCTATTGAAAAAGAATTTAAAAAAATACTCATTGATCTCGATCCTTACAGTTTGAGTGACTATTTGCAAATGTTATATGCAGTTGGTTGCGACCGGGGAGTTAATAATTTGTTATCCCAGATGTAAACAATTTGTTATCTTAATACTATTTTAGTGTTGTGAACATATAATTTTAACGAACGAAAATCAATGCTATTATCATTACTGTTTTTGAAAAAAAAAGTTGAAAAATGTCATTCGGTTGTATTAAGTCAATTTAATTTATTTAAGACTTTGACCATACATTTCCTGGCAAACTAGTAGCAAAGAATTTTTGATTGAAACTTAAGGTTGTGTAGACAAATTAAATGTTAGAATGCGAACCAAAATTGTTTTTTGAAAACATTTTTTAAAATTTAAGGCGAGGAAACTAAATAATATTTTAAATGGTAATGAACTAAATTTGATAAAAACATGCAATGTTACTTGAATTTACTAAAATTCTAAAAAATAAATAAATAAATCTCAAAACAGACCAACATTAACTAACAAAACAGACCAAAACTAAAACTGAGCGAAAACTAACTGAAAGCAAGTTAATGAAAAATAGAAAGTAAAACAGGTAATATTGCTAAGATACTAAAATAATGTAGCAAACAGTTAGTAAAATAAAACTTTGAATTGAACTCGTCATCATGAAATCACATGTACTTTTTCTTTATGTTTCAACTGTTTAAATGAAGCTGAAATTAAATATGGAAAGCCAACTGACAAAACAATGTCAATTACAAAATGGCTTTAAGTGTCCCTAATAAAACCCGAGAAAAATCAATTAAAAAGATAAAAATTAATCTGCATAACATAAATTAATTTTGTAATTTTTTATTACTATTGTTATTTTTTTTATTTGTTTATAATAATCAATCAAACATAAAATAAAAACATAAAAATCAATAATGTTATTGAAAATGACCACAGACACATTGTATAGCTTATACACATGTTGGATCATAACAAGTTAAAATTTAAAGCTCTCAAAAATAATATTAACTTTTCAAATAAACATGTATCGAAAAATGCTCCCTAACGGAGCCAGCCTTCTTGAAGAGGGTCCAGTAGTGGGGTATTTCGCAAATTATGTCTAAACGGTTGAACTTCAATACGTAAATTTTAAAATCTTTAATAATTTTGATATGCTGAATCTAGATTTGAAATTAAAAATGTCAGAATTTCATGATAGACGTATCATTTGGGGGGGTAGAAGTATAAAAAAGCTCCTTTTAAGAGACTATAAATCAACCTTTTTTCTACAAATTGTGGAAACCTGAAGTATTCTACGAAGAAAAGGACCTCTTAATGTACTTCGTTCAGGCGCACCATTTTCCAACTAAATGACTTAAAAATATCAGTGCTATCCAAACAGATTTTATATTTAAAGGTAATATTATTATCGACACTAATTTACTGGAGTAAATATTCAAACAAATTTCCAATTTCTTGAATGCACAATCTGGACCTTTTCCAAATAGGTTGGGTGGCACGGAGAATTTCAAAAGTGGTTTGTTTTATTTGATTTCCGGCCGCGCAAATCCGCCTTAATTTTAATTAATTTTAATTAAATTAGATAATTTTGTTCACAACGCACATTGTAAAAGTAAGCTTGAATTTGCGTACATTTGTTTGCATTTTTTTGCAACATCTGCAGCCTGTGACATTTT